GATCTCAACCCAATTGAAAACCTGCGGTGGAAATTGAAAAAAATTGGTCCACAAGAAGGCTCCGACCTGCAACTGATCTGGCAACTGCTATCAAAAAGAGTTGGCACCAAGTTGATGAAGAATACTGTTTGTCACTCATCAAGTCCATGCCTCAGAGACTGCAAGCCGTTATAAAAGCTAAAGGTGGTGCAACTAAATACTACTGATGTATTTTGAATGGTCTTTTGTTTATCTGTTTTTCATGATTCCATTTTTTTTCTCAGAATTGAGTGATTCCATATTTTTTCCCCTGTGCTTGGTCAATAAAAGTAACATTCACTGACTTCCACAATGTTTTATCTTCATGTCTTTGAGTGTTCCTGAAAGCCAACAAGTTGTACTTTGGAAAGACTTTATTATTGTRTCATGTTTTTGATCTGAGTTTGTTTTACAGAATGAAATGTCTGAACGAGTGCTCATCCAAGACTGGTGATTCCATACTTTTTGCCAGTGGTTGTACGTACCTGAATAGATAGAACTTTTATTGATCCCTTAGGAAGATTCCTTTAGGGGAATTAAAAATGTGGATGCTTGAGTTGTACTCTATGTATGACTAAGTATTATGGCCAGAATACGAGAATTTTCCTTGAATTATGAGAATAAAGGTGTAAAATTACAAGAATAAAGACACAATAAGACAACAAACTAACATTACCAGAATAAAATGATTTTTAAATAAGAAAATGCAGCAGTAACACATCAGCATCAAATTAGTACCTGTAGCTGGACTGTGAAACAATGGCTGTCTATTTTGAAGATGTTATTCTCATATTTCAACTTTATTCTTGTAATTCAAAAAATATATAATTCTCATAGCCTAGCCCTTGTGCTTCGTTGTATTCTGTGCTCTGGAGGAATTCAAGAGAAAATTGAAAGTCTTATAGCAATGAGTGAGTGAAAAACTAAACAAAATGTTTTAATGTATCATTTGTACAAATGTGACATCATACGTAAACTGAGGAGTTCACGGAAATGTCTGTATAAATCAAAAACTGTAAAAAYGACATGTAAACTTTCTGTGATGGTTTAAACTTTAACTGATGTTTCTTCTGGGAGGTATRTCTGAGCTGAACAGGACTGGCGTTTTATGACATGCAGAACAAACATTTTTGACAACCTTGAAAATAAACTCTCTTTTTTTTGTAAGAAGTACCAAAAATCAGTTCACAGTTCATTTTAGGATGTATAATCCAGAGTATCCTTTTATTTTGTCAAGATATTAAACACATTAGAAATTTCTCACATCAAAAGGAAATACTAACTTAAATTTCTGACATGTTGGTAAAACTGAAAGCTAAGATCTGAAGGAAAAGCCTGAAGTGCAGCTGAAAGCTCTCTGCTGTCATTCACAACAGGAGAGAGCTGAAATGGGTAAGTTTGGAAAATGTCAAGAGTGACTCAGAAAACAGGGTGTGTGTTCTTTATTAACACTTCTTTCACTGCCGGCTCTCTTCTAACCTTCACCACTGCTTGGTTTATCTTTCTTCTTCCTTATCAGGACTCTGTTGTGCATCAACATTAGCTAAGATATTTTCCTTCATTCTGAAATGAGGAACTTAAACTTAGTATTGCTCAAAAGGGTAATAATTCAGGCTGCAACGTTATAACTTAGCACTAAAAATAAAGAAATGTGGGTTAGGAAGATTWTTATATCAGGAACCTGACTGGGGGACCAGAAGCTCAAAACAAGAGCAACAGCAAAATAATCTGTTCGGCAGAGAAGATTTGGCAATTCTTCCATGTGCACAACCCACACACTCAGCCAGGGGTGGAGTGGGGAAATTTTTCAGCCCGGGAGTTTAATGGCCAAGACCGGCC